TCTTAAAAATCTTCATGATGACAAATCCACAGCTTCCACTAGTAGACCATTCCTCTCTCCTAATGGATGAAAGTCTTTGAGGCATGAGAGGGCAGACAAACTAACTGGACATGTTCAGTCTACCTCTTATATGCTCAATTCATGCTCATTTTGGATTATTAAGTTTGGGAGGCTATCCACCTGGGTCCATGAGTTCATAAATATCTTTTGAGAGAGGGAGAAATTCCAGCATCATTAAAAGAAGCAGTGATCTGGCTGCTTCTGAATAAACTGAATCTTGACTCAGAGAATGAAATAACTGCAAGCCAGTAGCCAATATTGCCTTGCTAGGAAGAATGCTTGAGCAGATGATGGACAATCAAGGCCAGGCTTTCCTGGATGAAACTGATATTCTAGATGCGTTGCAATCTGATTTAAGGCCAGACTTTAGAACAGAGATTGCTTTGGTAATCTATGAGGTTATCTGTGCTGGAGAAAAATGATAGTGGGGTGGAGTGAGGTGTGATAATGTTGGTCCTCCTGCTTTTTGTGTGGCTTTTAATACCATCAACCATGATGTATGTCCAAACAGGCTATCAGAATTGGAAAGTAGGTGTACTGTACAATAGTGATTTCACTCCTACTTGGATGGCCATTTCCATAAAGTGTTGCTGGGATTAGTCTTCTGCCTTTTGGTGATTGGGTATATAATCCCTTTCCCTTGGGTTTCCATTTTATCCTTATGCTTTTTAAATCTACATGCAATTGTTGGGAGAAGTCATCGAGGGAAGTGGGCTGAAGTGAAATCAATATGTAGGTGGAGCTCTACTTCTTCTTGATCTAAATCAGAAGAGGCAGTTGCCATTCTGAACTTGTGCTTGGACAGGGTAATGAGCTAGATGAGGGCCAGTAAACAGACTCAATCCAACAGGATAGAGATAATGTTTGTAGCCCGTGCATTTGGCCAGGTGAGTGGTACCAGTACCCTGTCTGTTTTGGAAAGGCCTGCATTGCCCTTAAAGGAATAACTTCATAATATGGGATGCTCCTAGATCCTTCATATCACTAAGTGGCCTTAGTGGCAACAAAAGTCGGTGGTCTCCCAACCATGGACTATTTCACCCTAATGAGCAGATGTATTCAGTGCTTGAGCTCCTCGCCCTGCGAGATTCTCCCCTCTCGCAGGTTTGGCCCTCCACTCTATCGAGGACCTATCTCGATGACGGACTTTGGAGTCCTGAGAGATGGCATGCTGCAAAAAGAGGGCTGTGGGTTTTTTTAGGGAAGTTTTTGAACAAGATTTTAAAGGATTCTGGGAGGGGGTTGGGCTGCGTGGGTCTGGGGGAGAACCCACGGGGGAGGGTGCCTAGTCCAGCTGAGGAGCGCGGCATGGGGGGTGCAGGTCCTGGGGTCAAGGAGGGGGTTAGAGCTTGTGGTGCGGATGGCTATGACATCGATACTGTAGGTGGGAGGGGCAGATATGGTGGGAGTAGGAGGCCACATCATGTTGTGGGAGTGTGTGCTCGCTGTCTTCAAGTGGTGGCGCGCTCCCACCTCCATTGCTCCTCTCGTTCCCCAGGTTGCACAGATCCTTGGGCCCTGGGCCTTCGGCTGATGCTGTGCAATGCCAGGTCCATGGCAAATAAAGCCCCCCTCATTTGCGAGCTTATTCAGGAGGGGGGCGCGGACCTGGCAGGTATTACGGAGACCTGGTTAGGCCAGGAGGGGGGAGGCCCTCTTGTTGATATGTGCCCACCTGGTTTCTGTGCATTTCATCAGCCAAGGTCACAAGGGAGGGGCGGGTGGTGGTGGCTGTTGTTATCAATGAGGGTCTTAGTCTGAGGTAGGCCACTGTTCGTCAGATGGCTGGATGTGAGTCCCTCCTTGTGAAGTGGGGTCATGGGGTGCAGATGGGGCCTGCTAATCATGTACCTGGCTCCCTGCCACGTGGCAGCAGCCCTGCCTCAGCTGCTCGACATTATAGCCGCGGTGGCGGTTGATACCCCCAGGTTTATGGTCATGGGGGATTTTAACCTGCCATCTGTTGGTGAGACGTCCGAGGCGGCCCGGGAGTTGATGGCTTCCATGACGGCCATGGGCCTGACCCAGTTAATCATGGTCCTACTCACACGGGGGGAAACACTCTGGACCTACTTTTAGTCTCTGGCCAGTGGTTGAGTGATCTTGAGATAGGGGATATAGCGATTGAACCCTTGTCATGGTCAGATCACTCCCTCCTTTCCTTAGACCTTCGAACCGCCACACCCCGCTGCAGGGAGGCAGAACCGATGAGGTGGTTCTGCGCCAGGCACCTGATGGATCCAGATTGGTTCCAGATGGAGCTTGGGCCACTTCCTGAGGCTCTGGAACATGGCTCGGCTGAAGACCTAGTGGCCGCCTGGGATAGGGTGGCTGCTGGAGCTTTGGACCGGGTCGTGCCTTTGCGGCCTCTGACCCGGCTCCAGTCTCACCTGGCTCCTTGGTTCACCGAGGAGCTGAGGGAGATGAAGCGCTGGAAAATACACCTAGAGAGCAGTTTGAGGGCTAGTCGTTCTGAATCTGACCGAATACTGGTAAGGTCTTATATTAAGACCTACCTGGTGGCAATAAAAGCGGAGAAGAGTAATTATTTTTCCGCTCTTATTGCATATCAGATAATCACCCAGCCACCCTGTTTAGGGTGACCCACTCCCTGCTCCACCAGGGGGCGTGGGAGGACCCCTTGGAGGGTAGGGCTGAGGACTTTGTACAATATCTGTATGACAAAATCGCTCAGATTCGGGAACACCTAGACTCTAACTGGATAGATCCAGGAGGGATGACAGAGGCAGGTCTTGGGAATATTATTTGGGAAGAGTTTGATCCTGTGACTCCTGAAGGCGTGGACAGGGTACTGGGCAGACTGAGTGCGGCCACATGTTTATTGGACCTGTGTCCCTCCTGGTTGGTGCTGGCCTCTCGGGAGGTTACACGAGGCTGGCTCCAGGGGATTATAAATGCTTCATGGAGTGAGGTGTTTTCCCTGCTGCCTTGAAAGAGGCGATGGTGAGGCCTCTTCTCAAGAAGCCTTCCCTGGACCTGGCAGTGTTGGCTAATTATCATCCAGTCTCCAACCTTCGCTTTGTTGCGAAGGTTGTTGAGAGTGTGGTCGCGCGACAGCTGCCTCAGTACCTGGATGAATCGGCTTATCTAGATCCGTTCCAGTCAGGCTTCAGGCCTGGGTACAGCATGGAAACGGCATTGGTCTCATTGGTTATTGATCTCTGGAGGGCTCGGGACAGGGGTTGCTCCTTGGTCCTGGTCCTGTTAGACCTCTCAGCGGCTTTTGATACCATCGACCATGGTAGGGTTGGGGGTGGGAGGCACCGTGTTGCGGTGGTTCTCCTCCTTTCTCTCTGACAGGTCGCAGTCTGTGTTGACGGGGGCAGAGGTCGACCCAGAGGCCCCTTGTATGTGGGGTGCCACAAGGATTGGTCCTCTTGCCCCTTCTGTTCAACATTTATGTGAAGCTGTTGGGCGAGATCATCCGTGGTTTCAGGGTGAAGTACCACCAGTACGCTGATGACACTCAGCTGTAATCTCCACCCCGGATCACCCCAATGATGCCCTTGAAATGATATCCCGGTGCCTGGAGGCCGTGCGGATCTGGATGGGTAGAAACAGACTCAGATTCAACCCATCCAAGACCGAGTGGCTGTGGTTTCCGACGTCCCGATATAGTCAGTTGGTGCCATCACTGACTATTGGGGGTGAGTCGTTGGCCCCCAGGGATAGGTCTCGCAACTTGGGTGTCTTCCTGGACTCACGGCTGTCTTTAGAAGAGCATTTGACACCTGTGGCCAGGAGGACTTTTTATCAGATCTGCCTGATTCACCAGTTGCATCCCTTTCTGGATTGGGACTTGTTATGTACGGTCACTCATGCCCTCATCACCTCACGCCTGGACTACTGTAATGCTCTCTACATGGGGCTCTCCTTGAGGAGCACCCGGAGGCTCCAACTGGTCCAGAATGTAGCCGCGCGGGTGGTTATGGGAGTGATGTGGTGCTCCCATGTGATTCCCCTCCTGCGCGAGCTGCACTGGCTCCCGGTGGTCTTCCAGGTGCGCTTTAAGGTTTTAGTCACCACCTTTAGAGTGCTCCATGGCTTAGGACCAGGATACTTATGAGACCGCCTTCTGCCACCAGTAGCTTCTCACTGACCAGTACGCTCCCATAGAGAGGGGCTCCTCAGGGTGCCGTTGGCCAAACAGTGTTGACTGGCGGCCCCCAGGGGGAGAGCCTTTTCTGTGGGGCACCTGCCATCTGGTATGAGCTCCCCCTGGAGATACGGAGGATCCCAGATTTACGCACTTTCTGCCGCGCCTCAAAACATTTTTATTCCAGCAGGCTGGTCTCCCTTTTAATTTGCTTTTAAGTTTTATACAAATTGGATGTTTTTAAATTCGTTTTTGGGCCTAAATTATTTAATGTATTTTTAAATGGTTTTTAACTTTTGTATGATGTATTTTTATCTTGTGGCTGTTCACCGCCCTGAGTCCTTCGGGAGTAGGGTGGTATATAAATAAAATAAAATAAAATAAAGTAAATAAATAAATAAAATAAAAGCCTTTTATCAGCTTCAGTTGACTTACCAACTACAATCTTACGTAGACAGAGGCAGCATCACATTTGCATTACTTCCTACTTGAACTGGATCACGTTACCTATGGCCTCTAATAAGGTTCTCATACTGGTCACCAACAAAATGAAGTGAAGTGGGAGAGCTTTTTGTGAGTTAGCACAAAAGTGATAGAATTCACGACATCAGCATAATTTTAATTCCAGATTTATTTATTTTCTCAGGCTTTCTAATTGTCTTTTAATTGTATGTAACTGTGTTTTCATTCTTATTTTTTAAATGACCACTGTACTTTATATAATGCTTTTATTGTGTATTTTATTTGATTTCATCATTTATTCTTTTAACTCAGATTGTATTTTAGATGGTTCTTTTTTAAAAACTGCACATACAGCTTCAGCTATTAACTGGTGTACATTTTATTAAATAAATAAACTCATTAAAATTATTTATATTTTAATGACACTTGTAAGAAGGCAGTATTTAATATGGCACTCACTACATCGCTGCCAGATTGAGCACTTGCTATCTTCAGTCTCTCCTGATGTCTCTTGAGCTACTTTCCTTGGCCATTATTTTCTTTCTTTGACATGTCAAGCAGCAGCAGCAGCAGGGTAGAGCCCATGAGATGAAAGGTTGCAGATCTGTTGCTAATTTAGATGCAGCTCTGTTGTAAAGAGGTTTCAAAGTCACATGAAACAAGCACAGTTACTTAGTTTATACAGATACAGACAGAGAGTAGTAGAACTCATTTAATTAGCATTTTAGATACAAGAGTAGAAACAGTGAGACTGGTGCAGTGCTGGGTTTCAAAAATTTTTACAACTGATTCTGTGGGCATGGTTTGGTGGGCGTGGCATGGGAAAAATACTGTAAAATCTCAATTCCCTTCCCAATCCAGGGGAAAGTTACTGCAAAATCTCCATTTTCTCCCAATCAGCTGGGACTCAGGAGGCAGAGAATAGATGGTGGTGGGGCCAGTCAGAATTTTACTACCGGTTCTCCGAACTACTCAAAATTTCCACTACCAGTTCTCCAGAACATGCTGAAACCCATCTCTGGACTGATGGAATTTGATCCCACCATAGGTACAAGGTCAGATGGGTGACTTTCCACCAGCTATTCTTTCTCAGTCTTAGGAAAAAGACAAGGGAAAACCATTTATGGAATGGAATGGAATGGAATGGAATGGAATGGAATGGAATGGAATGAAGTGATAGTGCTAGCAGTGTGTTAGGTCCTGTTTTTATAGATGGCAGAACTGGGAAGTACTTCATGAATATTCAACCAGACTGGAATAGACAAAGTGACAAAGATTTAAGTAACAAAACAGCAAAAATCCAAAACAATGAACCATATATCTAACCAAAGATATCAGTCATGTATTTGCCATTATAGTCAGTTGTCCTGTGAAAAATAATACAGTTGTATTCTCATGATTTTAGTTGCTCTTCTCTGAACTTTTTCCAAAGTCTCAACATCTTTTTTGTAGTATGGTGACCAAAATTGGTTGCAGTATTCCAGGTTGGTCTTACTAGGGTTTTATAAAGTGTTACTAATACTTCACATGAGCTTGATTTATACAACCCAGTAGCTTTTTTGGCAGCTGCTGCACACTGCTGGCTCATTTTCAAGTGATAATCCACTAAGACTCCAAGGTCCCTCTCACAGTCTTTGAGCCAGGTCTCGTCTAATCTGTACTTATACCTTTGATTTTTCCTGCCTAAATGTAAAACTTTGCTTTTACTAAACAAAAACTACCTACATTGGCAATTGGCTCTACAAAAGCCAATTCAAAGTAGCCAGAGAAGGCAGTTTTTACCAACTGGAGAAGAAAGTTCATGGTGAAGCAGCCTAAAAGACCTGAAGAGATCCCAACTTTGATGACTCAGCAAGTCCATTGTCAATTAAACTTTTAGTGTTGATAGAAGAGGAGAAATATTAGTTGAAACTGGAACAACTAACAAAGCCTTGAGCTAACTCAGCTGTGGGCAGGGTATAAGGAAAAGGCATCATCATTAGGATGTGGCATAAAAATGATTGTTGGGGTAGGAATGCATGATAACAAGCCATTTAATTGGGTCATGCGATTGTTTCATCTAAAGGAAATTAAACAGGCCAAATGAAGAAGAATTAAACTTGAATTTGCCAGCCCAATGGAAGAAAGGAGATTTATAGTTATTGTCTGTATGTGTATTTGTCTGTAAGAATGTATGCACTTTCTCACAGAATGCGTGCATATCAGCTATACCCACTTATGAATCTTGGTTTGCTTGAATGATTCTACAAATGTGAAGATTTCTTCTCAAGCATAAATCAGAAGTTAATGTAAAATATTTTAGCTTTTGTGTCTCTAGAGCATGATCTCTAGAACATGCTCTTTGGAGGCATATAAAATCTCTTGCTTGCATAATTATTTCTGTACAGATGCATATGCACAACTTAACTAACAACCAGTTGTGGATATGGTATAATTTGAGGACATTAAAGGAACACAAGTATAAATAATATTGTTTTTTAAGTTGTAGCTAATGATATTCCCTTGATATCTGAAAATGCCTATTGTACAGGGAGAAGGCAAATCATTAATCCAAATGTGATTAGAAGTTGGAACCATAAATTAAATCAGATATTAAATTTGAATAAGATGTATGCAATTCACATAAACTTTCATGCATGCTAGCTCTACCCTCAATATTCTTAATTGCACTTCCCTCCCTAAGCTCCCCAAGTTTCTCTAGTTCAAACTCACGACCTGCTGGCTGGATGCATCAGACACTGGCCATGCCCATGCCCAGTTTAGCGATGGGAGAAAAGTCCCGATACATCATGTGATGCTGCCATGATGACGTGAGTTTGACACCCCTGCTCTAGATGTTTGAAGCAATCTTCAATTTGTTTTCAGATGTTGAAATTTAAACTTCACTTTCAGTTAATCAGAAGCAACTAGGAATTAACTAAAGCCTTCAGTGATCATAGGCATGACCTTCTCTTTGCTATTCATATGATATGTGCATTTTAGATGGTAATAATAATTACTATAAATCTTAAACCAAACAAAATAATTCAAAATTGTGAGTCATAATGCTAATGTGACTTATACCTTGAACTGTTGAAGATTTACCAGGTCTTGCAAATGTAAAACATTTTACAGCAGGTGGGGGGCAGTATAAGTTTGGGAGTAGGAGGTCTTTGTCTTCTTTCTATTTTTTTGATATAAAATTACATTCTATTTATTTCATCTTTTTGTGAATTTTTCATGCAACCTACAGAAAGTTCTAATGGGTCTGTTTAATTAAATGAACACAAAATATTTCAGACAATTTTCTTTATTCTTGCTGGCTAGTGAAATTGATCTGAGCAAAAATGGCTGGAAGATGTGATTGTAAAAAATCTGGTATTATTTTCTGCTGGATGGTTTGCATGTTAGTATGTCTTTGGGGAATATTACTGTAATGAAGAGGGTGAAAAGTACAAGTCTGAGAAAGAAGTATCAAGGAGTTGTAATACTGAATTACAAAGCTGAAGAACGTTTTCTAGAACAATGAAACTACACTGTTCATGTGCAATGTTGCTGTGTCTTTTAGTTTGGAGTTTTGTTGATAATTATGTTTTCCCTCCATCAGTACTATGATCTATACCGTTTTTCAAATATAATTACGTACAAATAAACATTTGCCAGTGCTGAAAGGGAATATATGTAGGTAAAAATACTTTAAAAATACTTGTATTTATTTATCTATTTAATTAATTTATTGATTGTTTGACTGGATCTATCTCAGTTGTTCTGGGAAATTAACAGGTAGACAAAATATTAATTGATTCATGAACCACTCTATTGGCCACTGAGTGAAATTTTTTTCAAGTATCTTTTTAAAATATAATATGTGGTGCAGTAGCTCAGTGGCTAAAATACTGGGCTTCTCAGCTGGAAAGCCAGTAGCCAGGTTTGAGGCCCAAGCTCCATGTGATGGGATGAGCTCCCATCCTCACCACAGCTTGAAAGTATACAAATGCAAGTAGATAAAGTGCTATTACTTTTACACTTCAGTGGAAAGATAACAGCACTCCATGATGTCATGCTGGCCACATGACCATGGAAATGTCTCTGGCAGTGCTGACTCAATGGCCTTGAAATGGAGATGAGCACCACACCCTATAGTCAGCAATGACTAGTGGAGTAAAATCCACAGGGACTCCTTTACCTTACTTTTTAAAAAAAAAAATGTACTAGTTTTACTAGGCATTGAGGCCAACTTTTAATACACTTCTTTTTAATATTGGGATTCCTAATGACTTTATCATGAATATTGTTGCTAATGAGAAGATTGGCATACTATTTTTAGACATCTAATGTTTTACAGCAGTTTATACCCTGTATCACTTCACCTGATTGAATTTTCAATAAACTATGTAAGTAGACTTGGTTGTTATTTAGAATTCTCTCAATGAACACAGATATGCAAGATTCATTAGGTTCATATGAAGAACCTCATTAATGCTCTTTAAACTATCAAATAGCTAATGAAAAAATATCAAAGAGTTAGAGAAGCGTAGGTAATAATTTATTTCAAGTACTTGAAATTGCATAATATAATATTCAGCATGAGATACCACATCAACTGTTCATCAGGTTTCTTTGAATACAAATTAATCTTTGAAAATGTAATTTTCTCAATATTTTCATGTTTTTTAAAGCAGCATGTAGCTAATTTCTTATTGATTTCTAATTTCTATGTTACACTAGATTTAAGATTTTTCTCTCTGATATATAATATAGTGATTTAAAATTAATGGGATTATGGCTTTTTAATACTCATATTTTTTGTGGATTGTTATGCACTATATTTATTTTATATAATTAAGAATGAAACCCTTGCATCATTCTTTTCACCATAGAAACATCTGTATACTCCATGGGTTGAATGAACTCTATTTGACTTCTAGTTTAGTCCCATCAGAGATAAACTAAGCTTACTTGATGTAAAGGATAATTCAGGTTGCATATCGGACTGAATTTAATATAGTTGTATAATGATCTACAGTTTAATTATATTGATTAAAATCATTAGACACAATCACTGCTAAAGCTAGTCATATTGATTCAATTTATACTTACACATTTCAACACACATATGTAATAGAAAGACTAATAAATACAACACTGAACACAAACTATTCATGATAAAACAGTTCAAACTTTTCTTTTTCTTAATTACTTATTGAACTTAATGCCAAATCATTAAAATATAACAAACAAGCCTTATTATCTTGGGACGCTGGAGAATGATGTTTCCTAAATATAAGCAGAAAAATTAAACAGTTTCCATAGAGAGTTAAGTCTTGACCTGGCAAATATAAAGGACACTTGCACAATTATTAATTTGATTGGGTGTGTCGCAGGGGTGGCATTCACTTACCTTTGCTACCGGTTCGCAAATGTGAGTGTGCATGTGTGCCTCCTCCTGGTGTATTGGTGAGGTCAAGTTCTAGGGCTACTGTTTTATAGGGTTACTAGGAATCTTTCTTATCTCTGTACTTCTATGAACCCTAGGAAACAGTATCAGGTGAAATATCATGTGTATGCTAATGAATATATGTATTCATTAGCATGTATATATCACCTGATCAAGCAAATAATGCTGTTTAAGTTCCTTCTCAGTATTTATAAGTGGGATAGAAGGGTTCTGGATGGGATGAATAAGCTTCACCTTCATTCATAGAAAAGCTTCACTGAAACCTAATGAGATCCATTGGCTATGAGTTTTAGGTTCTCCTCTTCCCTAATCCTGAGCACCTTCCATATATTTTTCTGGATAGTGTGACACTCCTCCAGGCAGAACCTATTCACAGGTTGAGAGTTTTTCCAGATTCTAAGCTACTTCTAAAAGAGTAGCTGATAGCCATAGACAGAAGGTCCTTTTTAGAATTGTGTACCAACTGTACCTGTACCTGGATGTATAGGCATTGCTCATAGTCACTCATGTTTAGTCATCCATCATTTGAAATTTTGCAATGAGATCTTTATGGGGCTGCCTTTGGATAAACTGGTTCCAAATGCAGCAGTATGGATAATTATGATCATATCTCAGTGTTCTGCATATACAGCTTCCAATAGGTTTCTGGGTAAATTCAAGGTACTGGATACTACCAGAAACAGCACATTATTTATAGGACGCCCTGTCTCTGCTTGTCCCATTAGATTCAATAGAGCTGGCATGCCAGAGGTCTCTATTACCAATCAATATTATCTGATAGAACACAGGAAGTCCCCTTCCTGTTATAACATATGCTCTATGGAACACCTGGCCCCCAACATTCAGATAATCCTGACTCTCTTGAGATTTTATAGACATTTTCATGTATTTATTCTATTTGTGTAGCTGCCAACTCAACCAAGTGACTCTAGGTGGCTTTTGGCTGCCTTGCAAGCATTGGCCACTGTGATGGGTGAGTCCATCTTTAAGGAGAGTTGCAGTAATTAATTGCAGGATAACTACTGTTTAATAGTTAATTCCTTATTGTGTACCCAGGTGATTATTATTTGGTGGTGGAGAGTTGTTTTTAATCCTGTAAACTGCCCATACTCACATAAGATGGACAGCTGTATATGAAGAAATTACATAAACTAGTGTGTGATAGCCTTACCACATGCACCAGATAAGAAACACAATCCAATGAGTTAATTTAATTTAATTTTATTTTAGGTTACATTACAGAATCATGCAAGTCTTACAATACAGTTCTCCTCCTGTCTCCTTTACAGCCTGAGAATTATGATCTCTTCTGAGCCTCTTGTCTCACCTTTTTTTTTCCTTTAGCTTATGGCACGTGTTAGCCAGGGATCACCGAGGTGGCTGGCTGCCTCTGTGAAAGGATTTTTTTTGGGTGGTGCTATCTTAACTGTGGGATGCCTGATTGCCAGTAGGCTTCTTTCCTGTCCCTATGTGGTTTATACGCTCACAGGAATTGAGCTGGTCTCAGCGGAGCGCAGGCTCAGTGTCTTACGACATGAGCCGCCACAGTCCCTTGTCTCTTACTATCCATGGACAATGCTGTCTCTTATCTGACCATTTCTTGTGAAATTTCTGGATCCATTCATCCAAGGTCATTCACACGTGCCATTACATGTGTGAATATGATTTATTGTTAATCAATTGTGGCGGTGGAGTCTTTGAAGTTACTGATACTTCTCACAGCAAAGTGGGTTAGAATAGGGTTATTTTTTTGAGTTGCAATTTTTTATTAGTTTATCAAAATATAAAATACAAAGAAAAATGAAAATAGTGGGAAAGTAGGGAGAGAAAAAGAAAACAGATAAAAGTGTAGGGAAAAAAGAGGGGGAAATCATTGGTTTCTGACTCTTCTTAGCGTAGTAAAATTATAATATGTAATAATATATACTAGCCATTTCTATAACCGTAAACCTATTAACAGGAAAACCCAAAATCAAAGTTTCATTTATTTTCCCACCTCAAGCACAAAATCCAAAATCAGTTTCCTGGTAGAAACAATGTTGCCTGTATTCTTTTCTTTGATTAGAGCAGTCAATTTAGTCAACCCTGCTAACTCTTCCAATTTTTCCAGCCAGTCATCCATTGTGGGAATTAAAATATATTTCCATTTTTGTGCATAGAGCAATCTTGCTGCTCTCAGCATATGTAACAACAAAGTTCCATCTCCCCGCCCCGCCCCCCCAAATTCTTTGTCTATCAAGCCTAAAAGAACAGTGGTTGAAATAGCTGAATTAACTTGTTGTCTTTTATTTTTTATTTGATGTACACCCTTTCTTTATTTTTCCAATTCCATGTGACCGTGACATGCATGATGTTCTCATTACTTAACCATGTTAAGTAGTTTGGCTGACGGAATGAAAAACCCAAAGCCACCAAGTAGGCCTTTTTGCTTAAGAGAAGCTGAAAAATTTTGGTCTCTGAATTTTTAATTTAGTACCTTAACAACTGAATTGGCTCTCAATTGTTGGAATTCAACAATTTGTAATAATTATGAAAAAAAAAGAATATAAGCCATTTATACAGGCACATATTTAGTGAATATATACCAATAATTTATTGGTATATATTATTGGTAATGTATGCCTTTCTGGCAATGTAATTTACTTGGTTTGTATCTTCAATATTTTGTGCATCTGTATTAATAATTCTTCAATGATCATATTCTACTGAATTTAAGATTAATAAAAGTTACTCAAGATTGATTTTTATAATGTTCATTTTAAGTTAAAATGTATTTAACTTTGTGTGCATTTTTCTATTTTTTTTCTTAATTTCTAATTTTCTTATTAAAGTGGGCTACCTTAAATTTATTACTTTATGTCTTACAGCACTTCAAGTGTCAATTTCTCTCAGCAAGGTAGAAGTCAGTGTGGGTGTATCAAAATTCTTCACCTGTACAGGTATAATACATTTTAATTTTTGTATCAGCTTCATGATTAACATAATTATTAATATTAACTAGAAAAGTTATGGTACATTCTAGTGGCTTCTTTAAATACTTCATTAAAAGTATTAGATATTGTGTTATTTTTTAGAAGTAAAAAATAATAAAATGAATTAAAACTTTTAAATCAAGAGTATGATAATGGACCAGGAAATTATCCTTCAAAAATCAAAATGAAATGAAGTTATATTTAAGCATTTTGAAATAGTACTATTTGGATAGGTTATTGTGAGTTTTTTTATATTTGTGAAGGATTTTTTTTTTGAAGCAAATTTTTTGTACTATATATCTTTGCCATTGTATATTAACCTAGCACAACACTAACTAGATAGCAATAGTCAATGAACCAGCAGGACAGTTTTCCATTTGTAGTAATCATGCTGAAAATTCAACATGAAGAACAGCATGAATTGAGAACACAAAAAAATACAATAATATTCAGCATTCCAATGAAATCAATTCAATCCTTCTGTACTGAAATTCTAACAAACCAACATAGTCTTTTGCATTTACGATTTACAACCTGTGATGCTGAGTTGCATTAGAAATACTTGCGTAGTGCACACATTACATTCTGAATGCTTTGTATGTGTCTTAATGGTTATTTTCTTGTAAAATAAAACACAATATAGAACATAATACACACACACCACTTCCTCAGAAATTTAAATTACTATTTTGTTTAAATTTAAACAAAATAGTAAACATACCTCTCTACTAGGCAGGCAGTCATTTATATTTGCATTGGCCAGTAATTACTGTTTCTATACAGTTGATGTAAGTGAGCTAATTAATGCTGGATTCAAAGAATAAGATCAGGAATTAACTCTTGAACTGGCACATTAGCAGAGATATAGAAAAATGAGTCAGGACATCCAGGCTTATATAGTATGCAACCACTGCCTCCCCCTCTTCCAACATTGTTTGGTATGCAAAAGATGAACTCCAGGCAATAATTTTCAGGTCTGGTCATACATCAGTATATATAAAGATTGACGTAATGGTGGAGTATCACACACTGCTAATTCTGTGAGGACTGAACACTAAGAACCTAACATGTGTCTAACATTTAATATTCAATCATTTGAATTCCTATTTGAATAATACCAAGCAATTTGCTTGACTGAGGGAGAAGGAGAAGAGGTTTATCAGGTATTTAGTAATTAATGTTTGCTGGCCTGAACAAAAGATTGTCAATAAGGTTAATAGCCTTAACACCTTATCAGCCCTGTTGCTTAACTGATAAGAGGAATTGTCAAGGAAGATAGTTTGAGACTTTGTCTTCCAAATCTCTTTGTGGTGTTGTTGTGTTATCCTGGTCTAGGAGTCAACAGTTCAAATAGAAAGTGGCTAGAGAAGAATTTTATCCACTCTATTTTTATAGATCTTTGGGAAAGATTTAACATCACAGTCACCTAGGAGCAGAGATCACAGAAGTGGTTTTCTGAGGGTACCTGGGCTCTCTTCTGTGGTAGGCCCCATTTACAAGCATTTAGATTTTTCTGACAAGTAGTTACTAGGATATATAAAAATGCTAGCTTTAGAAATATTTAGCAAAATCATGGATTTAAACTTTGGATAGATTAGAATCTTATCAAAAACAGCAGCATCTCCATCCTCCTGCCTGTCTTAACAATCATGTCTTCTTCTTGACAAGGCACCATACATAGCAGTTTGGAAAAAGTAGAATAGTTGGTCTTACTAAGAAAATACAGTCCTGGGTGGGTGGGTGGGAAACTTGCTTGTTGCTAAGAATTATCTATTTGCTGAGCAGTCCAGTCCTCTTCCCCTGACATTGCACAGCTTTCCTTCATTGGACTGGATCTCTCCATAATCGTTAAGGAAGAAAAGTACTGACAATAATCTCTTTATCCTTGGAAAGACAGGCTAGCTAGCACAAAAGAGCTGTTTCTTCAGTTTCAAGAAGCATAAACTCAATATGAGGTCAATCTGCAGAGGCTCTGCAGTCCTCAAGAGTCCAATTTTTCCTGCAGATCACCCAAGGTCTTTTCTGAAAAAAGAATTGTAAGCAAAATGTGGCAGAACATGGCTTTCTCTGAAGTCAATAAATTAATCATGAAAAAGAAAGGTTTGAATTTGCATATCTCCTCATCTAAATCAATTTCCAAATGTGGTATATAAGACATAATATTATGTTTTTATTAAGTTGATTTTTTAAAAAATACTTTTTGGTATGGTTTTTGTTTTTTAAAAAAAGATGTTTAATTTAATTAAAATACTATGTTTACATTTAAGTATCTTTTGAGCATTTGTTATATTCATTCTTTATTTTTTCGTGTAGTAATTGGTGAACCTGAGAGTATAGATTGGTATAATCCACAAGGAGAAAAGATCATTTCTAATCAGAGAGTGGTGGTGCAGAAAGAAGGTGTAAGATCACGATTAACCATTTACAATGCCAATGTGGAAGATGCGGGAATATACAGGTGTCAAGCAACTGATTCTTCAGGATTTAGTCAAGAAGCTACGGTTGTTTTGGAAATTTACCGTAAGTAAATGCGCTATCAGGCTTTGTCTTTCTTCTTATGGTGTTGGAAATGTTGATAGAAATCTCTGTAAATTTAATTACAAAGTATATATTAAAGTGTGGTACTATTTCTTCTAGTAAACTAGTAACTACAGGCCTAAAATATACTGTATAGACAATACAGTACAAGCTGTAAATATCCAGATAACCAATAGACAGTAACTGTCTCTATCTCACCCAGATCTTTGCTATACAAGTATGGTAACTATTATATACATAGGAGAGTCTTTAACAAAGTTCATTATTTCAAGTACATCAATGCCAACACACTTATGTTACTTACGTTAGCATAGTATAACATAATGATAACTCAGCTTCCTTGGAAAGAAACTAAGAAAATTGAAAAATGTTAATAATAGTTTTGGTTATCCCCCATCTATGAAAGCTGTTCTGTGTGCATACATCCATAACTATGGACTTTAAATACTTGATAAATTCAAGAAAGATTTTCTGAATTAAATTTATACATGACCTTTTTTTGCTAACAAATGGTGGTCAAGGTGACTCATTATAAATGATTTAACTGTTTTGAAATTCTTAACAAATTAAAGAATAACCTATTCCTATAAATATATTTCTTTTCTTTTCTTTTTTTCTTTAGAAAAGCTCACATTCCAGGATGTCCCATCACCTCAAGAATTTGTACAGGGAGAAGATGTACAAGTCAATTGCCATGTTATCAGTTCACCTGCACCTATTGTCAGCTGGTTATATCAAAATGAGGAAGTCTCAAATATTGCTGACAGTTAGTATTTTGGTAACTCTTTAAATTATATGTTTTGTTACATATTCAGATTGTTTACACTTAATAATCTTCATTACTTAAGACAATATTGTGTGGAATTGACATGGCTACTACAATTCAGGTGGAACAACAGCTGATGACCTCTTTCTATTGGCCCACAATAGAAAGTGTCCTCACATACTGCATTACAGTATGGTACGCTGGTTTAACTGCTGAGGACAGGAAGGCACTACAGAGAGTGATCAATTCAGCACAAGAAACCATTGGTTGCCCTCTAACACTACTGGATGACATTGCCAGGTCTCGCTGCTTTAGCAGACTAAGAAAGAGATAATTCACACCCTGGTCAGTATCTCTTCGCACTTCTACCATTGGGCAGAAGACATCGAAACATAGCCAGCCGAACAAATAGGTTTAAAAATAGTTTCTATCCTTGGCCTGTCAGACTCTTAAACACAACCACAATCACTTCACACACACGCGGAAACGTATGACTAGTTTTCTTTTTTCCCCTCTAATTACTTGCATAGGGATTATTTTTTATATTATTTATGTTATTTGTATTTTTTGTCATGGATTGTACCAGTGAGGCTAAAACCAATTTCGTTGTATACATGATGTACAATGACAATAAAGGCTATACTATACTAACTGACTTCACTGTGGAAAATCTACTTCACTGTGGAAAATCTACCACGGGTTTAGGAAAGAAATGATCTGGTAATTTAAATGGAAATTCACCATTAGAAGAAATTTGACATAAATCTAAGATTAAAATATCACATTTGTTTTGTTAACTTCCACCCCCCCCCCATAGAACTGTGAATGCAAAAATACAAGTAAACAAACTATAATAAACATTTATTTATAATGTGTCATTAAATAGTTGTAAAGCTAGCTGGAAGTATCTAAACAGAATTGGCTGGCAATAGAAAGATAATACAAGTGCTGTTGACAAAGTATTGGGAACAGAGGGGTTGGAACTTGGAAGAAACCTGTATGAACTACTAAATTATTGCCAAGAAAATACATGAATTTGTTTACTAAATCAGGTTGAACATAGGAGACGTACAGTATTTATCTTTATTTAAGTTTTTTTTAAAAATGAATTATAACACTTGTTACAAAATAATCTTCAGGTTGGTTCCTATCTACTCCTACCTGTTAAGTAACTATGGCTGTTTCTTGTAGAATGCTAATATGCATTCTTTTGGTTTTTTGGTTGACAGGAAAATATATTGGCATAATCGTTAACACTAATGACTGAGCTGTTATTGCCTCATTATAGTTCTGTTTTTATAGCTTTACTGTAAGAAAGTAAAATAGAAATCTACCTAACATCACTAGCTGGTGTGTGTGTGTTTGGGTGTATTTTCTCCTTAAAGTATGATGGGACAAGTTTCTATTGCCTAATGATTGATTGTATTTGATGTGGGTTAACTGGTGTTCCAGAAGATTGATCTGTTTCCAAAAGTAACTTGAGTGGTTACTTTACACCTTTCCTTTATCTCTTGGTAGGTAAAGGGGTTATGAAGAGCCATGAATTCCAGTGGTGAAATGTAAAATTAGTTACTACCAGTTCTGTGGGCGTGGCTTGGTGGTGGGGTAATGTGACTGGGTGGGCGTGGCCAACTTTTTTTTTCTTTTAAAAGCCTTTTTTGTACAACCACTTCGGCTGAAGAGGTTGTAAAAAAAATGCTTTTAAAAGGCTCTGACTATCCCAGCTGAGTTGCCTGATCAGCTGAGGCTTTTGTTTTCTTTTATATTCGTTTTTTTTTTTTTGTTTTTAAAAGAAAAAAAAAGCCTCTGACAATCAGGCAACTCAGATGGGATTGTCAGAGCCTTTTAAAAGCATTTTTTACAACCTCTTTGGCCAAAGAGGTTGTAGAAAAAATGCTTTTAAAAGGCTCTGACGATCCCAGGTGAGCCACGCAATCATCAGAGGCCTTTTTTTAAATTTTTAAAAGCATTTTTTCGGCCGAAGAAAAAATGCTTTTAAAAGTGTAAAAAAAAGTCTCTGATGATCGCGTGGCTCAGCTGGGCATAGGGGGGGGGGGCAGGGATTTTTGCTACCGGTTTTCCAAACCACCCACCACCATTGCTACCAGATCAGGCGATCCGGTCCGAACTGGGAGCATTTCACCCCTGGTTCTATCTCATTTCCACGTGCTTTGTCTCTGCCTGCCAGTAACCCATTTGTACAAACCCAGCTGCAGACTACTGGCAAAACCCGGGTCTTTCTCTTGGTTTAAAATTATTTTCCATGCAAGGTGCTAGTTCTGTATGTAATTGTATATATTCTTTTCAAAGTACTGCTATTTTTTAAAAAGTCTAATACTGTTTCAGAAGAACACAAACACTGGGTGTGTTTACTAGTTCAGAATGCAATGGTGTGACAGTGAAGTTATCCATGCTGAACAAGCTGTACTCTTTGATAGTTTATATAGGCTATGATCTATACAATAATACATGACATACAGCCTAGTTATTTGAGGAACTGCCTATGTCCCATGGTATTTGCAAGCTGATGTGAATTGATAAGGTTGTTCAGAATAACAGCATTGGAAGGGACTGTGTAGGTCTTCCAGTCCAACCCCCTGTTTAGGCAGGAAACCCTATACTATTTCAGACAAATGGTTATTCAATCTCTTCTTAAAAATTTCCAGTGATTAATTTTTCTAGCTATCAGGAAATTTCTCCTTAGTTTTAGGTTGTAACTCTCCTTGATTAGTTTCCATCCATTGCTTCTTGTCCTGCCTTCAGGTGCTTTGGACAATAAGCTGACTCCCTGGTCTTTGTGGAAGCCCATCAAATATTGGAACACTGTTACCATGTTCCACTTCATTTTTTTAATCAAATGGTATATCATTTGATTAAAAAAGGGCACTCCCTTTGCAACCCCTTTCTCTGTAATGAAGTTTCTTCTGAGACAAGGGTGATTCATAATCTGATGTTAATCCAGAGGGCCTTAAAGGCCAGTTGGTTCTTTGCTAGGTAGCTGGAGCCCCTTGTTGGTTGTATTTGCATTTCTTATGCTGCTGGCTATGTTCATCATCTATTGTTTATTTAATTTTTTTCAATTTATCTTGTATGTTTAGCCTTTTTGTGAATTTCCTAGAATTGGTTTGGAGTCCAATGGCAGTTAATGAATAATAAATTAGTGAAAATCCTATTATATAATGCCTGACTGGTACTTCACAAATTGCTAATCAGGCATCACTAAAGTAGATGTCTATGCACAAAGTCATATATCCGGCATCTCTTGATGTTTAAGCCAAAGAAGACCTGTAGGCTGTGCCCAACAACCAGAGGAAAGAAGATAAATTCAGGAAATGGCCAGTAGCATCCAGACACATTGAAGTCTTTGATCATGTCATCAGTAACACTGTTAATAAGACAAAGGCAATGTATAAGGTTTCTCCAGAAAGATTTGTTAGAAAGAAAAGAAAACATTAAAAGTGGTTTTTTTTTCAACCATTAGTGTTTTGTGGTTGAGATGAAAGCATCTTGAAGGTTTATCCTTTGTCAATAGATAGCACAGGTATTCCTGTGCCACTTTCAAGGATGGGAAGATGAGCCTGTAAAAATACAACATAAATAATATTTTGGGAAAAAACAGGAAAGTTTACTTTATTTTTTACTTTGACATTTTTTATCATTTGATTTTATATGAACGATATCTCAGTCATAGCTTTAGGATGCTTTTAGCACTTTATGTGCTGAATGCAAACAAGACACAAATTGCATACTTCTCAGTCTGAAATGAGTAATATCCAAGGCTTTGTGTCTTTTCATTGCTTCATGTCTTTAATTCAAGAATCGTTATCACCCAGCAGTGTGGATTTCTTTACTGAAGTGAATACAAGTAGTATTGCCTAGATTTATTAGAAAACCAAGATGTAGGAAATGAAAAATACAGAATTAAGCTTTCAGGATTACATCTTTTGTGAAAATCTTTGCTGATAATACTTTAATAGTATTAAAGGGGAAGTATTTAAATATGCCAAAAGTTATATTCACTAATTGCCATTATTTATGGCTAATAGTTTTCCTATATGTTTTCCAGATAGATTTGCCATGTTGCCAAACAACAATCTTCAAATTCTTAAAATTAATAAAAGTGATGAAGGAATATACAGATGTGAAGGAAGAGTTGAAGCTAGAGGAGAAATTGACTTTCGGGATATCATTGTAATTGTAAATGGTAAGATTTAAATTATATTTTTTCTTTATGTAAGAATATATTTTTGATATTGTGGCATTTTAGAGTAAGGTAAATTAATTTTAAGGGAAAAGTATAATAGTCACTAGTTCAGCATTGCGTATGTGCAATGCAGACAACTTATAGCACTAGTTTATCATTCCAAGATAATTATATGTAATTTACTTTTATAAATGTGACCTCTAACTTTAGTATCATCATAACATAGGCCAAAAATCATTCTTAGTTTTTATATGTGCATGTTCTAATAATGTAGATGATCTGGATAATATAAAGATTATTTTGTTCCAAAATTTATCCTGAGAGGAAAAGAAATGTAAATACAAGAGACAAAGGGTTATAAATTTTGTATGCATTACTCAATAGCTAGCCTTGCTATGTAGAATCTATGAGATCTAAAAGGATATTCAAATGTTATAAGAAATGTTTGAAAAGATGGATATGTCTAACATTTTCCTTTTGTTTTTATTGGTTTGCTTTCTTCATGAAAACAAACTGTTTCTTTGCTGGAAATTAAAGAGATTAGTAAATTCTTCAAGGTTTTTAATGTGAACTAATTTGTCTATTCAGAATCATTGAGTTGGATTCAATCTTGCTTCTTAAGAATGGAAGGACATTCCATTCTTTTCATTTACAGAAGTTCACAGTGTTTCGATACTGTTTTAGGAGACTGTAGAATGAAATAAATGTCAGCTAAAAATGCTGCAACATTAGTGGTAATTTACCACTAATTTTACCAATTACCAATTTTATTGGATTTACAGTAGCTCAGAATTATAGTGACGCAAGAGAATTTGGAAAAAAACAACAAGAACCCAAGGTTAAATTCTTTTATGCTGCCTGTTTTATTAAAAGGAGGCCAACTCAATTATGCTTTTATGGTTGGTTACATTTTGTTATAACCGTTACATTATAGTTGTCACTTACCAATTGATAAAACCAAACCAAACATTATATTCAAGACTTTAAAAAATGCCTCCCCCCAATCCCCTCCCCCACCATATTTTCATTTTTGCAATATATGAGATGATGAACAGGAGACAAGAAAACAAATTAGAAAAAAAGTACAGAAAAAATTAACAAATGTAGCATAATGTAATTCATAGTATAATTAGAAATTGTGAATTTGTTGCTACATTGCTCCAAAATGTTAACAGCAGTAAAAGGTAATTTGTGATTGAATTGGTTTTCCTTGATACCTGTGTAGTGATTTTCCAACTTTAAAAAAAAGATGAATTTCTAAATTAAGGAAACTGACAACACAATTATTCAATTTTTATAGGTTTGTTGTTAAAAGAATTATTCCTTTGTGTCAGAGGGAAAACCCCCACAAATAATATATGGGAAAAAAGTAAAATCTAGAATGTTTCTAAATAAAAGTACATATAACAATTTATAATATCAGTGAGTACAGAAATAGAGTACAGGTAACAGAAACAGCTGGACACAGTGTTAGAAATTCTGTTTACCACACCTCACAGAACAAACAAAAAGTACAGTCACCATGTAGTTTACTGCTCAACTACATTACTGTAATGTAATGTAATTACATTAATTAGAGAGCCAATTAATACTTACTCAAACAAAGCTATAAGCAGTTAAAAGACAAAATTTAACCATAAAAAATATGAGAGAGGTTTTGCTGTTAACATTCCTACAAAAGCTTATCTGTGAGTACCTCATTAGAGGCATAAGTACAGATGGTAGGCAGTATGTAATGTTTTCCTGAAAATCATTGCTCAAGAAAAATCCCTTGTTCTTCTTTAGACAAAAGCAATCCAATGCTGAGATAGCATCTCAAATCCCTTAAGTGGATTCCAGGAGACTAAATCTTCAGCAGAAGCCTTTGTAATGAGGAGCTGGTTAATATTCAGTTGTTTTGATGCCTTAAATGGTTTCAGAATTGCTAGGCTGGTTCATTCTCTACCCCAAGGGTAGAGCTTTCTCTGTGAGCACCCCCACCCTTTGGAATCAACTTCCCTTGGGGCTCCGGTTGGCCCCTGATCTTCGCACCTTCCGCTGTGAATTGAAAACCTGGCTATTTATGTTCCCCAGCCTGGACTGATGGGGTAGTATATTTTAAAATTTTAAAAACTTTTCATATTTTTGTGTATATTTGTTGATTTTAACAGTTGCTTGGTCGATTGTTGTTGCGAGCCACCCTGACTCCTTGGAGATAGGGTGGCATACAAATTTTATAAATAATAATAATAATAATAATAATAATAATAATAATAATAATAATAATTCTCAGTATCCCGCATACACACACATTCAACTCTCTTTCTTAACAGAACACTTTCTTTTTCTGTAAAGTTGGGAGTTTGGGATTCATATAAATAAAATAAAGTGAGATAGGTAAGATAACATAAAGCAAAAGGTACATAAAATCATGGCCAAGTACCAACCAGAACAAGTATAACACAGAGCTTGCCAACAGGACTTCTGCTTGGACTCCATCTTGGGGGAAAGGGCAGATCCCAATATCATGTGCACAACCATGTACAAACTGCACTCTTCTTTCCCTCCACCCCCCTTCATCATCTCCTCCTCCTTTATTGTAAGAGGAAGGAGAGCAATATTAATGTCTGATGTTTTCATCTATTTTATCTTTAAATGCAAACCTAAGTATTCCAGTGCTATATGGCAATGCTGGTTTTTTTTTTTAAAATGTCAGCTTCATATTTCAGAGCTTTGGAAGTAGGTATCATATACAGTACATATAAATATTATTAATATCTCCTTACCACTCATTGTGCTGACAGTTCTCTTAACTAATATCTCTCCTGATAACAATCTCACCTGAAAATTCTAGAACACAGCACAAACCAGCTTCCCTAGATTCATTGACAGCAGTGTAACTTTCTGTCTCTAAGGAAGTAGATGGTATTTTATTATTTGATTGGAATAAGAATTTATCTCCACACATCCTAATTTAGTGGCATTCCCAAAGCTTTTAGATATTAATTTCTGGAAACAATATTTCACATGGTTTTGAGGAATACACCGGATACTCATTTGCACAAGTGGAATTTCAGTTGAGATTTGGTTGTTTATTTACAAAAGTATTAGCATTGAATATTTGCATATCCTGCACAAATCCTTCCTTTGATGTTCCTTTTTCAAATCAATCACATCCATATACCTCAGATAACAAATTTGTGAAACAGCTCTTGTTTCTTGTTAATTTGAATGGCTTTTTAGTGAAATAAAAACTCATAAGAAACAAACATGAAAATGAAATAGTTAAAACTGAAATAAAAACAGATGGGAAAAGATATTATATATATTCAGACTAGATTAGTATTCCTGATGATAAATAAAGAAATATGAACAACTGTATTAAATATTCAAGATGTCTGCAAGGATGTTTATAATGTTCAGGTAATATAGTCTTTATTACTCAAGCACATGCCAAAGTATGTCTGAAAGGATGGTGATAAAGGCTACCATTTGATTCCTCCTGAGCGAAGGTTATTCTCATGTGTTTAACTATGGCATTATAATGCTTACATTTTCATTACAAATGCTAGAATCTATTGACAATATTTAATATTGATTAATCTTTTAATACTGCTAGGCACATTTCATTTAAAATAGTGGCAATTTGAAAACTGCTTAAAATTACTTAATGTTTGAGTTACTTCCCATATGAAGCATTTATATGAATCAGATTATCTTTTCTCTACATTGTCTCCATCATTAGCGATGGAATAAAATGTGGTTATATTAGAAGATTTGGTTCTGTGCTTAGAGCAGTATGGTGGGATATGGTGACAATATAGTGTCATATTAGGGTTTTTTCCCGCAGTGAGTTACTTTCCAGATAAGTTGGGGCTGCTTTTTGTAACATGTCTAAGTATTTTTTCTCAATATAAATTCTCTCAGTATAAATAGTATAAATACAGTATGTCATCTGTTGATCCTCATAGGCAATATTACAGATACAGATATTTTTATAATGCTGAAAATTCTGCGTCAAACATATATGAAACGTTAGGTTATACAAATGTTATACAATATCTTAGGCAGATTACTAATCGCTCCCCACAGAAAACCACAAACTGAAGCCCGCAAATACTTTGAGAATACTAATAGAAATTATTGCCTCGCCTCAATTTCTGAGATCAACTTGCTCAAAGTTATTTATTTGCTTGGAAACAAAAAGAGAATCTTTTATAGTACCTGAGTGGTGTATGGAAGCTTCACCCTAAGATTATAGGGGTTTTTTGTTTTTGTTTTCTTTCAATATTTTTTTCCTCCAATTTTTTTATATTTTATATTTATATTTTATAATTTATTTTATTTATTTTACTTTTATTTTATTTATTTCTATAGTATCCATCTCTATCAATGACTCTGGGCAGCTTACTATTCATATATATATATATATATATATATATATATATATATATATATATATA